CATTTTACAAACATCAGCTCAGAGCCAGAAGGGTGTTAACTGTGTGCTAAGTTATTCGAGTTAACATCCTTCTGACTCTAAACGGATGTTTGTAAATTGCTAGATAGACTTGCATAACTTGGATAATATCATTGTTGATATTTTTATACTGATAGTTGACCATCATTGCATAAAGCTTTTCTCCATGGAAATTTATTCATTACCTTTGAACGCAATTATCATATTAGATGATATCTAGACCAGAGGTATAATATATCTACTGATTGAAAAGATAAAAAAGATAATCTTAAATCCATCTACTTGGCTTACAAAATAGGTCAATCTGATTGCATATAATTATATCATAAGCCTGGTACAGCAGATATTTTACTTCCACAATAATCTTTTTTTCCCCCTTTTCTTTTTAGATGAGCAGGAATGTGTGTCTAAGAAAGGGATAGAGAGAGAGAGAGAGAAAGACAGAGGGAAAGAGTTTGGGGTTCTTTTCGGCTAAATGCTTATGAAGCAAATTAAATGCAACTGATGTTTTTTAAAGCTTGTGCTGATAGAAAATGTATGAAGTATATTTCACAAAACATTAGGCTTATTTTTAGGGTATTATTTGATAGACATTAATGGACAGATTCATAGTCATGAGTTCCCGTTTGAAGTAGGTCATTAAGATGAAATGGGCAGGACCAGCTGGGGGGGGGGGGGGGGTTCACATTCATTTGTCATATCTCTATTAGAGATTATAATTATATATCGTAACCTGAATCAATTTTATTTTCTATTATACCTGGTAACCACCTTTTATTACCAGCACATTTCAAAATGGCAGGGCTCTTGACAGACCAATTGACATTATATCCATCATCTAAAAAAAGGCGAAGAAAATGTAGGTAATGGAATTTGGTCCAAATAAAACAGCCATACTTCATGTTGACTCAGAAGAAGAAAGCAATTAAGGTACCTCAAATCAACATAACATCAATAAAAGCTGACATGTTCTGTAATGATATACCTATTCAAGTACCATTATAAAGGGATTCAGAACAAACAACATGAGTTGTTAAGAAACGGTTGTAAAAAAATGGACATGCCAATTTTCAGATCGATGGTAGAGCGAGGAAAATATGAGAGGCTGCATACACAATGGTTGAGCGTCCTCGCACAAAAACCAAACACTTGGCACGTTTTGAGATCACGTTCATCATCAATTTTGAGGCCAGTTCTTTTTTCTTCTGTTTTTCACTTACCAATCATCGTGCTTGAGGTATCTCTCCATCCCTTCTCTCACTGCCTCCTTCCTCTCTTCTCTCTCCCCTCTCTCCTCCTCTCTCTCTCCTTCCTCCTCTTTCTCTTCCTCCTTCTCTCCCTCTCCCTGTCTTCCCCTCTTTTCCCCATGATCTCCTTCTCTGTGTCACTCTTGTTTCTGATTATCCCTTTTCTCTCTATTCCCCATATTTCGCCTCCTCCCTTTCCCTTGTTCTCACATAGCATCTCTCTCTTTCTGTCACTATATCTGTTCCTCCTTCCCTTCTCTCTCTCCCTTTCTCTCAAACACACACACACATACACAACTTTCTTCATCATTTCAATTTATTATTTTTATAATCTACTGCAATCGGTTCCACTTTTATTATACCCTTTTTTTCCACCAGCTTCCCGTTCTTCTCTCTATTGCCAGTTACAAGCAGTATGTACGTGAAGATTCTGGTGATGATGACCGATTTATTCTTCTCCTGGCAATTCTGACGCTATGTGATTGATTATAAACAATGTATTTGTCTTTCTTAATAAAGAAAGATCTAGTATACCTGGTGACAGCCAACTTGTTTGTTTAATTGTCACTCTTCTTCACCCATGCATGTTTGCCTCCCCCTCCCACTTTCTTTCTCTCTCTCCCTCTCTCTCTTTATTACTCTCTGCACTCACTCATTCTCTTTTTCTATTTCACACTCTCTCTCCCCTATTAAAGATGAAGTTGAGTTCTGGTCATGTGATTGCATTGTGAAAGAAACAGTGTGGAACCGACCAGAAAAGGTTGATCATCTAGCATAGGGTCTATAAGAATTTGTGTGTATTGCAAGGTTCTGGAATCATCGAAATGATAAGAAATTTGGCCAAGTCTTGGTAAAGTTACAAACACTTGCACAGAAAGATGTATATGGGACTACACAAACACGTGGCGTAAAAAGCCGGCCCCCGATTTTTACGATGTTACATGCATATTTAGAATATGAAGGCATTTGAAGAGCCATGCTTTTCAGGGAACATGTCTTAACTGATGTTTTTCCACACTTGCATAATAAGAATGAGTAATGCTCACAAATCATTGTTCACCTCTTCCCAGAACTCAACCTTCTCTTTAACCTCTCTCTCTTTCCCACTCTCTTCCCTCCCCCTCTCTTTCTCTACCTCACTCACCCTATATCTACCTCTCACTATATATCTGCCTCTCTCTCTCTCTCTCTCTCTCTCTCTCTCTCTCTCTCTCTCTCTCTCTCTCTCTCTATATATATATATATATATGTATATATATATATATACCTTTCTCTGATGCCACCGGCTACATGTCATTTCTTCATATCAAGTTGAATTTGCCTGCACAACTAATATCAAACATCTTGTGTGCATTTTCGTTTCTTCCTAAAAACATATGAGAGGAAGGGAGAAGCGAGTGTAGAGTTCAGAGTGAAAGAAAGGGCGAGAGAGGAAAAGGGGGAAACAGAGGCAGACAGACAGAGAAAGAGACAGAGACAGAGAGAGAGGAGAAGGGGGTGGAAAAAGAGACATGTAAAAGAGAGATGGGAGAGAGGAGCAGGAAGAGAGAGAGGGGGGTTGAGGGAGAAGAGAGAGAGAGATAGAAGAGAACTCTTTAATAATATGTTTAACAGTTAGAGAGAGAGGGGGGGTTGCTTCAATCTCCCAATATACTTCCCAAATAGCAGAATATATCCCGGGTGATTTTATAATGTCCCTCTAGCCGTGAGAGATGATTGCTTTCATAATTCAAATCGATAGCAATCACCGGTAATTACACACCGCCTGCCTGCTGCAAAAATAGTACAGGGCATAGACTGTACACCTGCAAACCACCACAGAAATACCAAACTTGAACCCCCCTGTTCAGTGTATCATTGGAGTTCACCGTATTGCTATTAAGATTACCTTGCAGCTATACGATAAGTGTTACTTCTCTTCTCATCTAAACATAGTGTAAAGAAACGTCAAATGATGAAATGATGTATAGCGAAAAAACGCATAGTTTGAGCATCGTTTTGAATGAAAACTCAATAGGGAATCAGGGTCCCGTTCTAGTATGAATGATGCATTGTACGAAAATCTATATTAAACTGGACAGTGCCTATCGTGAGCATGCACCAATGTTTGGAAAGCTGTCATGTCGACTAACCTCTTCAAAACCAGTTACTTAATACAATTGTTTATGAAATATTGTTTTTCTAGTGTGCAAGATGATTCTTTGTAGTCTAAACATTCCATTAAGGTAATGCCATCAGACTATAAATACTGACATCACCTGGTGTGCAGAATTTAACCTTCCCCTCTCGTTTGTAATTGTTATCTATTTGCCAAAGGTCTTACTACACACCTGTCCTGCCTATCATCACAACTTATCTTTGGTTCTGTTGAAAAATTTTACCTCTGACTCTTTCATTCTTCTCTCATATAGTATCTCCTTGATCCCTTTAGGTGCTTTTTTCATATGAAAGAAGCACCCTTTTCATATCGATCCATAATACTTCTACAAACATTTTTGTTGTGGTAACTAAAGGTACGTAATAAACCTCACTCCATACAGTTTCTTAATCCTGTAATCTATTTTATTCCGTAGCTATGCTTCTGATTTATTCTAAGTTTCTCTCTACATTGCATTGCAGGCATTATTTTCTTTTAACAAATTTCCCTCTCTCCTATAATTTCTCCTTTCACTTCCTTTCTCCCCCCCCCCCCACCTCTTTCTCTCTCCCCTCTCTCTCTCTCTCTCTCTCTCTCCCCCCTCATTTCTCCCTCCAATATTCTATTTCCACCCCATCTCTATCTCTCTCTCTCTCTATCTTCCTTTCTTTTCTTCTCCCTACAAATCTTTCCTTTTGCTTGTCTCTCTCCCCTTTCTCTCTTACTAAGCTCTCTTAGCGCTTGCTTGCACTCTCTCACTCTCTCTCCCTCTCTCTCCCCCTCTCTCTCGCTTTGTTGCTTGTTCCTCCTTTTGTTTACCTATTGCATTCCCTCTAATCAAATTATATCTTATCCTTGTTGTTACATCAGAGTCCCCGGTAACAGTATATCCCTCCAGTAAACAACTGCAAAGGATTCTGACAAATTAAATTTGTTAGCAAATTACAGCCTGCATACCGAGGAGCACGCACTGAAAGAGACATAACTTTGTTTGCTTGACGAGCTTCAACAATTTAAATTTAGAACCAATCTCAAGAATGCTTGCACCATTGCGAAGGACGTGCACCTCTCTCTGCCTTCAACAGATATCTTAAGCAACAAGGATTTTTTTTTGAGTGACAAACGTGTTGATTTTTCAAAAGTCCTTACGACAGTGATATCTGTATATCTACAGTAGATATTAATGTATTTACTGTAAATCATCCTTACATTTCAAAACTCACATCACTGTGGACAAATCCAAAGCCATTTCTTGACAATCAGCAAGTCGTAAAGTACCTTTTCCAATCTTTGTGTCAAATGGATCCACACAACATAAATACTTGCTTATATATCCAGAGAAGATATGAAAGTGCAGAGACCCTATGCATTGGTTCTTAGGCTTGTAGCCTACAACACACCTAAGAAACCTTTAAACCGCGTAGATCCTTCAGTCTGTTAAGAGTCAAAAGGGCATTACTTTCACATTAAATTATACAAATTAATGCCCTTCTGGCTGTCAGTAGGTGATTAGAGGCCTGACAATACAAGCACTATATTTTTACTTCTTATCTAAACATTTTTCTTACATGCCTGAAAATGACTTCAGAAATGCTCACCTGTAAATCCTTACGCAATGAGAACTTAAAGAGGTTTGATGTCATGGCAGAGAAACATCTAGTCATCCTGCAGAGAAACAAAAAAGAAAAATAATGTTTATGAATCAAAATAGGGTAGTATAACGAGCATACATTATGGTCTTCACAGAGGCCACTGTTGTTTTTTATAAGGAAAAGTAAATTTCAACTGACTGCTAAGGTGTCTCAACTGAAAAAAAATTATCATTGAGTGACCAAAATCATGTAAGCAGTACAAACTTGACCACAATAGTCGAGCTAAATCAAGATTTCAAGTACCTAATTCTATTTCAACTCACAATTGTTTTTTCTGTGTACATTACTTTATCATTTCTACTCCACATACAAATTTGTGTACAATTTAAGCTCAGACATTCCACTAGACAAGACTGATAAAGGATACAAATAGGTACTTGCAAAGATCAGTTACACTTGTCAATACTCATGTGCTTTGTTTTCATAAGACAAATCTATCTCTTCAGAAATGATCTATCTCCTGCCACAGAAGAGGGAAGATAAACAAATTAACTGAGCACTACACTGAGAAAGAGAAGATTGTAGACTTTAGAATGAACATCTTTACTTCAGTCTTCCTAACTGATGAATTGATTGTCAATGTATGCAAGTGTTATGGATCTACCAGAGTGTCTCCATCTTGCTCTGTCTCTTTATCTCTTGTTATATTTCCTTTTCTATCTCTATCAGACTCACTGTATCTCTCCTCTATCTTACTATTTTCTGCAAATCTCTTTTCTCTCCTTTGCTCTTGTTTTTTCTTTCTCTCTTGTGCCTCTCTCTTTCACCAATGCTTTTTCTCTCTCTCACATTGTCTCTCTCTTCTCTCTTTCTTTCTAACTTTCCTCCTTTTCTCCTCTTTTGAAGTTGCTTTCTTTCTCTTTATCTCTCCTTCCTTTAAAAAGCTGCCACAAGACCAAAATAGATATAAAGTGTGCATAAATTTTGCCCTTCTAACTCCAGGGGGGTGTTTCACAAAGATTCTAAGTCGAACTTAACTCTAAGTTGGACTTAAATATTATGGGAAGCCATTAGCATCCTTGAAAATATTTTGTAAATTTCTTTGTAGAAGGCATAAAATGTTGATTCAAATCATTTATATTTCCTATTATCATGGGAGATTTCATGTTCTTGGCATGGAATTTATAAAAAAGTCTAAAACACTTGAATTTCTGCTTTTGGATATATTTCATTTTAAGGCTCCAATGGCTGTCCATAATTTTAAAGTCCAACTTAGTGTTAAGTTCTACTTAGGATCTTTGTGAAACACCCTCCTGGCATATTTTCTAAGGCTCTGAATCAAAAGTAATTGATCTAAATCACAAAATATGGAATTATCATTGTGAAAGGGTTAAAATTGACTTTTCTGATACCCATCCTTGCCTCTCATTTTATCCATTTATTCCCCCACAAGGGTTGAATGAACTCATGTACACGAACTGTATGCCATTTTTCTTCTCGATCAATTTTTTATCATCAGTGCCTTAGGCGGTTAAGCCACCCAATCAATAATATTGATCTTCATATTTCTTGAACAAAGAACAAAATAAATCTGTAATCGATGTGGTGTCATGTTTTTTTTTTTTTTTTTTTTAGGGGGGGGGGGGTCTTTCCAAAGATGCTGGTTTACTGCAATCTTGCACAAAGCAGTAACCACAATTTACGGAAGATTTTTTTTGCAAAATTACACATTTCCAGTCTTGAATCAGATAATCAATATTACCTGTTGAAAAATAAAACAACATAATATTCGAACCTTTTAGGATAGTGGCTTCAATTGAATGGAACTAATGCATTGCATCAATAATGCTACCACATTAGCTTTTAACTCTAACACTAGAAAGAGAGAATCTTAGTTTGCTAGTGACTTTTACCAATGCCTTCTATTTCCAATTCATCAAACATAATTGTTTTAAACTAAATCAAGATGATATAAACCTTCAACATTTTATCAGACTGATGAATGACACTTAATTGCTGTAGAATTCAATTTATTTCAGAGTCTTTCATTCTGGTAAAGTGAAATCTTACGAAAGAACAAATAATTTGAGATGAATGTTGTAATCTTAGTTTTCCAGGGTCAGATGCTAGCCAACTTGTCTGGAGGCAATATATCTTTTTTTGTCAAGCCAACAGAATTATGGCAATACACCCAATGGTAGCATGTACTGCAACTGAATAAGGAGGAGAAGGAGGAAGACAAGGAGGAAGACGAGGAGGTTGAGAAGTAAAAATCAAGTTCTCTATGCAGCTTTACTTATGCATACAATGTAATAGTGCATGAGTGTTTAAGCTTTAAATATAGACTACTGTGATCAGTTATTTTAATGCAATTAAACAAAATAGATTACCGTAGAATTTATCTAAGAAGTACTCCATATCCATATGTTCTTCATGAAATCTATTCAAATCAACGCTTTTTTTGGAATGGAGAGCATATTGTTGTTGTTAGTGCAATTTACATTAATTGCTTTGTTCCCTCTATTTTAAAGACTATTATCAAATTAACTACCATTTGGGGCCTATAACTTACACGAGTAGCTTTCACCATAGGCCCCCCCCCCCCCTCCCTTCTTCTTTTTAGTTCAGTCTTTTAATATAATGCATTCAAACAAATTCATGAAGTTTCTTATTTTTTGTCTCTATTAATATAATTCATGTTTATGTGTACCACTTACTTGTAAAATCATTGCTAAATGTTGGAAATATGTGAAATATGAAAAAATAAAATGAAACTGAAAACTGAAACATATATTACACTTCCTAGTTTGGATAAGCTTCAGAGGATTCACAGTCTGTTGATTTATCCACTAGACCAAAACACCTCTATACTTCCTCAGCTTCCTACAATTAGGCAGTTACTGTTTTGACTGGTATTCTTCTGGGTCACGGTACATATCTCCGCTGCCATGCCGCCCGGCCGCTCTTGACCGATGACTGTAATCAAAATCCAATTTGCAATCGATCTTCGGCCAGATCACACAGTCCCATGACCAGGGGCGCGACTACAAGCATCCTTGATGACCACTCCATCAACTCATAGAAGAGCCCTTGGCCGCAGAACCTTCCCTGTTGCATATGCGACGACGAGAAAGAGGAGCAGGGGGGTGTTTCACAAAACTTGACATCAGTGACGAATGACAGTTTTTGTTATAAGCTACTGAAATCCTTGCTTCTGATTGGTTATCAGCAGATTTGACACTGATATTTGTCATTGAAGAAAGGCTTTGTGAAACACCCCCTAGGACTCAATCATTCTCCAAAGACCACTCCTACTGAAACAGGGTTGATTTTATTGCTCACATTGTCACTGCCTTTAAGTAGTCTGCAGGTTCAGACTCTAATTTGACACTTTAATACAATTCCATGTTAAAGTCCTGGATGGTGGCGTTAAAGGTCGGTCCCAAGACGTAAATAATCATATCTGATTGATACACGTCTGTACAAAAAAACAAAAAAAAACACGCTCACGCACAGCTGTGTCTAGACCAGAGCATATAATAATAATAGCAATAATAGTGGGTTCTTGTATAGCGCTCATTTCTGTCAGACTTGACACTCCTGGTGCTCCGTTATTACCCTAGATTGAGCATGGCTGTCATTACGGGGCTCTAGCATTTCAAGGAATGAATTCCTGCCAGGTACCCATTTACATCACCTGGGTCGAGTGTGGCAATTGTAGATTAATGTCTTGCCAAAGGACATTAGTGCTGCGGCTGGACTCGCACCGCAGACCTTGTGATCCACAGTACGGTGACATATCCACCCAGCCTCTATACACCTCTACGTATGCATGGGGTGGAGTAGACGGCAAGCAGACGTGACTGTCTCTATGTTCAGACACTCTATAATTACGCACCATGACTGCCAAGGATTTGTGTCTGCCCCCAAGCCTCCATGTACAGAAAAGGGGATGGTAATTAGGTTCATCATCATAACTTTCTTGATATGATATGTTGATATAACAATACCTGACTTCTACCCCTTCCATGCCATGGATGGCTAATCCCACATAAGAATATGAGTGTTGAAAATATTTGATTTGGACTCAGAATCTAGCTATCACGTTACCTTCTCCCAGCTTGGACACTGACTGCAGAGACGCCAAGTTCAAAGATCAGCTATGCGTGATATTTTCATGACTCAGCGTGAGTATACACACGTAAAGTGTTTTTTCAAAATCGCGCGTCTTGCGTTAGAGCGTTTTCAGACCCTCAAAATGTGTGACATCACACATAATGCGTGACACTTGGTAGCTCTGTGACTGCAACATTCCTTCTCCAAGCTTGGACACTGACTGCATAACATTCCTCCAAACAGGCTTTCACCCTGCCATTCTAGTGCTCTCTTGCAGTGTTACTCCAGCCCAAGTGTTAAAGTTCTCCTATTTGGTTCAGAATGGCTACTTTTATTCCACAAATAATAGAAATCACACCATTTTTCATTCCATAACAAATTCATTCCCATGCAATTTATTTTATTTACAATTAAAGTCACAAAACTCATTAGAAATTCGCATTCAATTCTTGAAGGTCTTTTTTTACCAATTACTCAAAAACTTTGTGGCATGGAAGAGACTAAAAAAGGAACACATCTTTTGTAAATCATCAACCAGGGGACTTATGGCTTGACGTCTATCCAGAGGTTTTTCTTCAACACAGATAAATGGCAAATCCATGGGTCCTATAATGCATCTATCTACTTGTTCTTGAACCCTGAACCTTTCAATTCAAAGACCACTGCTTTATCCACAGAGCCATCACACTTCCTCAGGTTTTCAGGAGTTTGTGGAAGGTATCAGATGTAATTGATTTCATAAAGAGAAAAATCCTATTAGAAAGTGAAAAGGCTGCTAAGTAGGTTAAAAAATATAGTTCCCCATAGAATATTGTAATTGCTATAGGAAGCCTTTAGCACTTAATGATTTGAACATTTTACTAGGAAGTTCTTGGAAATTCTCCTTGGTTCAAATTTTGAAAGAAAACTTCACGTAACATATTATAGCCCCGGCATTAATATATTT